AGGGGACTGTGAGGGAACCATACGGAAGTAGCGAGACTGGGTGCAAAAATACTCTTTGTCATGGCGGAAAATACAAACATGTTCGCTTGCTGATAGTCGATAGAAGGGAATTTTATTTTTGTGACACACCAAAATAGAATGCGCGCGTATGCGAATCGCCGTATCTTCGACTTCTGGGAAAGTCGTTCATTCTCCAAGACTCGACTGCTTTCTGCCGTTGCTGGCGTGGTTGAGGGTCTAGAATGCTTCGAAAAATGAGCATAGGCAGCACACACGACAGCGACCTGACAGTGTACGAACTACTTGCATGTGCACTACACTGAGTCCGATCCTCGATGGAAAGCCGCCATGTAAGACTTCGATACAACGGTCCAACATTTGTCGAAAATAGTACCAGTGTTAATACCAACCCCTTCCTCGACGATTTCGCGTATACGCCATCAGTTATCACGTGCTCCATTTTTCTTAGCGTTCGCATATTACTGCAACACCCTTGATCGTTGCATGTTGCATGTCCGACATTTATATTGATTTTCCCACAATCCAATGCACTCTTCTAAATAAATCATGATTATTGACATTGAGACCCATATTTCACGCATGCGTGGCGCGACGACCACCGCCCTTTAACTGTACGAACCCTTACAATTTCCTATATACATAATCAACACGTACGTATGTTTTCCTGTGTAAAAATTAGAGCAGTGACATCGGAGAGCATTCGAGAAGGGGGTTGTAACTGCCTTGACGTCCAAAACTGATTTTGAGTGCGTACCTTATTTGAAAGTAGGAATGCTGGCAATGTGTGTCAAATTGTAAGGCAGTTTAAGTCGTTACTAGTACATAATCACCGACAGCTTACCTTGTGTGGAAACGACAACGGTGAAACCGAATGATGGCTCGTCACGCCAGTGCAAGTCTTTCTTCAGACAGTTTGTCTAGTTAAGACGAGAAGCTGCTTAGGAGTTCGGGCTAGAGTGTCACATTTACGTGCGGGAGCCAATCACAGAAGCAGGCGGGGTTATATGGTTATAGTGGGAGTGTTTTTAAATGCCACGATACCTTTTCTAAAAGATTGCCGGTGGTACTAGTAGATAAACACGTCTGCATTGTGTCTGACCATGCATGTATCCTATTTAGTACAACCATGGCATAACCTAGCTCAACATCGTTTTTACTCAATTGAATTGAACATGGGATTATAGAGGCAATCATTTGTTCTGAAATTAACTTGGACCAGTCAAAGTGTTTTAATGGTTATGCAGATAAGATTTCGCCCCCTTTTTCGATATATTTTATATGTGTTTGGATGACTTGAAGTCGGTCTAATCATGGAATAACAAACGGTGTTTGTAGTTCCATGGTCTAAGGTATGATAGATTCTAGATGAATTCCTATGTTTTTGCTTTTAAAATCTCCTTTTTCTTGTTCCTATCTGAGTAACCTTAGAACTTGAACACCACTGCCCGTAGACTTCTGAATCTTCTCACACATTGGAGACTGTGAGAACTGGTTCACCTAAATTTCAGAATTTTGATTGGTCGACCGGTTTGGCTATATTGGGGCTTTTGTATAGAAGCGGATACGGTACATATTAAGGCATATTCAACCTTCAAACTAGAATCCGACAAATTATAGAAATAGACACATGTCTGAGTGTCGACCGTTGCCCAGACCATTGAGGTGAAATAGATATCGGGGCTCGTGCTGCCACGTCATCGACGGGAGTTCCGGGTCCATGGTCATGACGGGGGTCATGATAATACTCAAATCAACGAAAGAACGTGATGGAACGATATATCGGATAAGATAGTCGGTTGGTTAAATTTTCATGTCAATTTGTATGAGGTTTGTACCCATGTTTAATGTATTTCATAATGTTATAAGCGTACCCCCCCAAAAAAACCTGCATGTTTCGGTAGGTTTGTCATGTTTGTTCATGATATCTAATCCAACAATTTCAACATTTAATGGACACTGTTTTATTTAATACCAATTCTCAATCGGCCCATGAAGATATAATGAATTCCATCATACCTTCATAATATTATACCCATGATTGAGCTAAGTTCAGAAAAATCCCTCTTTCTGGTTGTCTGCATCTATGACTTATCTCCTGAACAATTGACTTAGATCACAGTCCCTCTATCCCCGGATAGAGGGACTGTGCTTAGATGTATATGTGTGCGTTTACCTTCAATTCGCATAGTTCATAGAACTTTGATCATACGATCGTGTCCCGTCAGATTGAATTCCTGCGCATGACCTCATTGTGAAGAATCCCACCATGTGTTATGCTGATAACTAAATGCATTGTTATGCAAATGTAACCTTTAAGTCGTTGGGGTTTTTCCAACGTAGACCATGGAGCTCCATCCACAGAAGAAGCATCAAGTAATACATTTCATGCATATTTTTGTTCAGCTCAAAGCTTTTATGGCACAGTAATCACGGCGACTTATGAAAGACATAACAATACAAATATACTTGACAAATCTCCAACAAGAGAAAATTTATCTATCTCCCCCAGGAATTAGCTACGTTTTTTAATATTTATAATTTATATCGGAATCGCAATGTCGCGATTTTGTCTCTTTGATCTAATGATATAGATAACCTCTTTTAAAAAAAGTTGTATTTTTGTTCTTTTTAAAGTTTAAATCAAACAAAAATATTGCGAAATGGAGGTGTTAACGCGAAATCTCATGTGCCCGCGAAACCACAAGCCATACACCCGAAATCAAATGTGGTGGTTTCGAGTTCACCCAAAATTTCGCAAAACTAATTATTTTCAAGTTTTTTATTATTATAATTTAACTGGAAAAAAATCACCACAACTGGCCAGCGTACTTTTATCTGTAATCAACCTTGAAGAGGGCGGCGCTCATAAATTAGAGGAAGACAAAACAACACAAAGGAGGGGAAAATACCCAAACGCATAATAATCCTTCATAATCCTAATTTCAATTATTTTTTTTTGAAAATCCAACGTGATTTGTTCTGATGATAAGAGGATTCCCATAAGCAAATGTCGCCACATACACTTGTTAAGTCCGGGTACAATATATGAGAAATAATTCTAAAATTTAGTTTCTGATTTCAAGATTAATAAAAATACCTCGACGAGCGAGTAACATAACATTTCTTCCAAATATGAGCACATTACAATAAAAGAGAATGAACTATATCCACGAGATGGTGCCCAACTGAACCAATTCCGCCGGTACGTGCTTTGATCATGATCGGACAATGTGTTCGTGCAATGAAAACTAAACTTGAAAAAAAGTGTTCGATATAGTTTATTCATGGACGTACTAACAAGTGGTAGTACGCCTACGGTTTATTCAGTATTCTCATCACCGACACATGTTTTTATTTAGTACTGTTATTAGATCACTCGACCAATCCGTAGAGTTATTTTCGATTGCTTTCTTTGCATAATAACGCCGATAGCATAGCCAAAAGATACTCGCAAATCTTCACTACAATCAGACAGGGCATTGTATATCAGGTTCGATGCATACCGTGTTCCCGATAGGAACAGAGGGACTGTGCCGATACCAATCGCAAACAGTATTCCCAGCAATAAAGGTAAGTGTCATTTCTTAATCTTTAAAAACTAGTTGATAATGAATTATACGAGAAAGGGGCGAGAACATTCGAATTGATCCAATGCTAATTGGACTTTTAATTTTCTTTGTTTTCTTATACTGTCGAATGACAATTTTTTGTTCTATTCTGTACAGCCTCACGTTTGGCTGCTCTCTTAAACCTCTCATCACGCTCTCTTTCTCATGCTCTCTCTTCTCGCGCTCTGTCAATTGAGCCAGGGGGTTATTGACAATAAAATTCAAATTGATATCAAAATAGATAGTGAATCAAAATCAGAATCAATACTGAATCTGAATCCCAAATCAGAATCACAATCCCATTTCTGACACCAAAATGTCACAGCGTAAGGCCTGCTTATTGATATTGAGAAGAACACTCACAGAACTCACTGTGGACAGAGCAAGGAAGGTACTAACGTTAGTACCTTCCATGGACAGATGATTCTTTCACTGCTAGAATGGGGTGGACAAGACAATAGTATTGGAAATGAAATACACACATACCAAAATATCAGCTCAGTTAAAGCATCGGCTTTTATACATACTTCTCGAAATAATGAAAAAATACAAAACACAGAATAATACAATGAATAGATTCACTAAAATAGGGGATTGTCCAGGGAAGTGTGCATCGACGATATCTCACACTTCCAAGATGTGGAAATTGGTGTCAGTCAGTGGCTTCTGCAACATAACAACGAAGAGATACAGGCGTCTTGCTTGCAGATGAACGCTGTTATTCTGGAGGGCACCTCTGAAAGCAGGAGATTGCAGAACAGTTCATACAAGTCTCACTGAATGATGATTGAAGTCTGTATATCACTTGTTTCGCAATAACGCAGCAGCAACACACTAAATAGTACTTAATTGAAATGGTTGTACGCAACTGTCCTCAATCTAGCCTATTTATAGGCTATAAATGGCCCAGTTTCAGGTACACCACCTGGGTTTCAACAGGAGCCAATCAGAATATGGTCGTGCTAGCAGCTGTCTCAAGATGACATGCAGCCACTCACGTGGGCAAGTCAGTAGATTGTAAACATTCTTTGTTATGTAAATCACTAGCACAGTTTCTTCCCGTGATTCCATGCATACTTCTACTTGCAGGGTTTTAGGTAATATAAAAAACATGCTGACACGGGCCTTGGTTTTAAAGCAAGATGCACTAGAGGTCAATATTACGGTCATAGCTTTGATAATACAGAGAAATATTTTATTTTATCGGTGCGTGTCAACTACCAAGTTATAACATGGAAATAGTTATCTCCATGGTCAAATAAGAGATAATACTTATTAAACGGGGGTACTTTAACGTTTCTTGAACCATGGAGCTAAAATATAACTTTTTAGCTCTAGGCCTACTTACTTCCTTCCTTGCTTGAACTAACACTGTGTTACCTATATCTCATTCTCGCTGTGGAGTTCCACGCATGTTCAGTTCGTTCAGCCACTATCGGGACTGTGGTTCAGCAGTCGTTTACTGAGAGCAAAATAAAACAAAAAATGACTCAATCGGAACCTGATTGTTTAGATTAGTCTCCCGTTTTAGTTCGGCCATTCGAATCATTGCAGCAAATCTTTAAGGGCGGCGGTCGTCGCGCTGCGCATGTGCGACATTTTTGTTGATAAACATTGATTTTCCCACAATCCGATGCGCTCTTCACAAGTATGAGGTTTGACCTGGGTGCGACTTGCACTAATTGCCACGATGACTCCTTCGATACCTTCAAATCCAATAAAAAATACCTAATTAAAGCTTGGTAACGTCTCAGTTTGTACTCGTTCATCTACGCAACAGTCAAAGTCGCCATCTTTGTTTATATGAGACCCATATATGGCGCGACGACTACCGCCCTTTAATATTATCATTCAGGCACAGGCCGGTTCAGAACCTTAGCTTAACACCGGTTAACGAAGTGTGCGTGAGTGCTTAACTGGGACTAAGCGCTTAAAACACTATTGTATTCGATGTTCATTTGAAAGATTTAAAATCATAACTATTCATTTCGGTGTGCCATTTCCGACTTGACAATTAGCGCGAGCACATAGACGACAATGTTAACATATGACGAGATTGCTATATGAAAATGATGAAGAAAGTTGAAAACATGGCTTAAAAATGGGAAATCAACATGCCAGTAATCAACCATATGAAAAAACTAACATGTTGGCCAGCTCAAACTCTTGCAAATCTCAGGTAAACAAGACACACCTACTGTATTTGGATTGTACCAAGAAAAATCACTGGAAAAACACCAAGATTAGAACATCCAAATACACACAGAATAAACCCACAGGTACACAGCCGCTAAGTAGTAAACAAAAGACCACTTGTTGGTCTCACCTTTAACCCAGGTGATTACGCCCTCAAACAGGGAGCACCTGAGAAAAAACAATATTTAAAAAATTCCATTGGTTCTTGCAAGGCAATCATTGGTTGATTAGTGGCATGAGACCTTAGTCACTTGCATAGCTTATGTTTACAGAAACCCGTAGTTTATTTACAAGCTGATAACACTAAGCTCTGTACGCTTAGAGTGATGTCACGCTGCGGTCAACGATAAAAAATATAATTCACTGCACGGCGCTCACACTTTCACTCTTCTAAATGCTGCTACTGATACGTGGTAATAGCAAAGACACAGGACTGTGGCAAAGATAATACATTTGAGACGATGCATCCGGGAAATCCCTTTTCTATTGTAAAACAAGGCGACACATCAAAAAGTCAAGCTGAGTTCATCGTCTATTACGTCCCGTGAGTTCACTTGATGCGTTGGTGAGGTCCCGAACCTAGTTTATACGTTGCATAGTTTAATTTTTCTATGGAGTATTTTTTGCACATGGCTTCGAAATCGGTCATTTTCGATGAGATAGTTGTTGGGTGTCTACTAACTATATACTAGTACTTCAAGTTTCTTGGACGAACCATTTTGGACCATGTGCATAAACCATAACACAAAACCGGAACAGAAAATATTTAGGCACCCCGTTAACGGCGAGTAAAATGGAAAGAGACATTTATAGCGACAAGGACACATGAACCTCAGTAAATATAAACCTAGCAGTAGTGTACAGTTGTTCGTCACCACGATAGACAAACACATCAGAATAAATCTCCAATGTGATGGCAACATTTTCGTTATTCACACGTTTTACAAACTCAACCATAGATGTGCGACGTGGTGTCGGCGTGTCGGAATTATTTGTTCTGTTAAATAAATAAGCAAAATATCACCCAAAATTTGTCACTTGATTGTGAAATAATGCTGTTACTAATCTATGTGAAAAACTACTTCCATCCGGGCCTCTAGCATCGCTTTGAAAATAACAGAAAGTGTTCGTTATTCTCGCTAAACATGCGGGCGAGCCTTCCTTTACAATTAATGAAATTATAGAAATAACAAGTGTACGAGTTCAATACTAGATAAAACACGCCACGCACATTACGACCACCTATAGAACACCATGACCCCCTCCCACGGGCATGTACCGGTATTTGTATGTTACTACTAGTAACATCACTGTTCGTCTTTCTTCAACACCAGACAGGAAATTGTACCCATGGTATCACACGTACAATAGGGGATGCGCGGATACATTGACACTTCATAGATGCCTTTATGCAAACAACGCAAGGTGTGAATATTTCGGCAAGTGTCATACGTTTATTTCGGTTCTTTACGTGTTTCAGTCCGGCTCTGGCAATAGAAAGGGACTTCCGAGAAAACAAATATAATTTCTGTTTTTGCCAGCCTTGCGTTACCACGAATAAGCAAGATTGGTCTCATTTACGAACCATTTACCGTCATCGGCTGCGTTATTTTTGAAACACGCTCTATCACCACGTACACACCCTTAGACAATAACAGTATAAAGAATGCTAAATTAATTTCATTAAAACAACTAGGGGTACTAGTATTTCTGGCTCGTACTCTCTGTGGCGACGTTTTAAATTTGGGAAGACGATTGTCATTGTCTTCGTTGAATCCGCTATGTGATAATGAGAAACGCATTAGGAACTGTGCAACTATTTGTGGAGATTAGATGCTGCATCCAGTTTCAGCGGTCCAACGTCAGTTGACAGCAGTTAATTATTCAAGCTTTAATAGTAGCGTGTCCCTTTCCCCGGTTCGTGATTTTGACTTTTATCCGCCAAAATCTCAAATCATACAATATTTATTGTCATAAATACTACACACAATCACTGCTGTGATATTCATAGTCACATGCATCCATAGTCGCATGCAACCACTGGCATGACATAATCAACCTGTAAGTTCGAGAAAACGTGTTTTTACCGGAGCTTGGCTGGAGATGTTTACTACAGCATGACAAGCAAGGAAATAATCTCTATTGTTTAGAAGCGTATTTATAGTATATATATTGGGACGTTTCTTAGCCCCCCCCCCCCACCCCACTTGCGTGAACGCAACTGGGCCTATCCGATACGCAAATACATGTACTAGTATATAAGATTAATTTAGCCCTTACTGCACGTAGCGTGAACATTAATAATATTTATTCAGCAAACAAACAATTTAGACAGGCCTTATACTAGTATGATCATGGAAGGTACTAACCCGGGGTACTAACGGATTCGTTAGTACACAGGCCCTCAACACTGGAGGGACTGTCGTTAGTACCTACCATGGTATGATGAACTTGCTTCTGGGGATCGGTGTTATCAGCTTGTAATAAATATATAGTATATAGGATGTTAACATACGCTGCGTTCACGTTAAAGGGCGACGATCATCGCGCCGCGTCCTGTTCGATACGGGGCCCATAGAGACGCATACAACGCGTGTAAAATACATTGTTTATTTACATGAAATTCGAACACGCGCGGCGCGACGACCACCGCGCTTTAAGGAATCTCGACACGTGCACACACCTCCAACCACAGTCCCTCCACTGTGCTCCAACTTACAAGTGCCCGATCCACTGAAGGTAGTTTGTAAGATGAACAGTTCACTATAAAGGAACTAAAGACAAACTACATTTTTAAATTTGATTTATTTATTTAGTAGTACATTTTTTTTACTAACTTGTGGAGATAACAATTGCGTGCCGTACATGTGTGTATCTATGGTTATTGTATCCATTTCTACACGTACACATTGATACATGTATTTTCTTTTTAGAATTTTAAAGTTGACAATGTCTGCCTCGATTGACCATTTTGAAGTAGCCTGTGTGAATGCTCTGTCCAGATCTAAAGCTTTCTGTACCCAGTTCGGGTTTTCGCTCTTTGCTGTCAACCTGGACGGCGCTGTCATGCAATATGCCTGTAAAGCTGGCGAGAGCATATTCGTCTTTTCTCAGCGACCCGAAGATTGTGTACTCTCTGGTGACACTGTCTTCGACTGTGCGCTGAGTGTTGACAAAGTAGCCGCGGTTTTCAACAGAGCGCTAAAGGCTGGAGCTACAAATATTAAGAAGCCAATGGAGCTGCATGATGAAAACGGAAACGGAAGTGTGACAATGGCCATCATCGGATCGCCAATTGGTAAGTTGTTGGTAACACCCGCTAGATATGAAGCCTACTCAGCTACACACCGCGCATTTGAATTCCGGGGATTATGAGATAAAAGAAGATAATTTACTATACAGATTTCATTATTAATTTCAGGCGGTAGAATGAGTTATTCATGTGACCGAGTGATACTCAGAGAACCAATGCCACCCATTTTTGCATGCTTAGTTATTATATAACTGAAATATTTCTTATTCCACTTGTGGTGCAGGTAATGTCGTACACACACTGATTAACCGAGAAAACTACAAAGGCATCTTTCTGCCCGGTTTCACGCCACCCGACATCACGACACTAGCTCAATTCCCAGCCAGTACATACAAGATTAAAACTACACACATTGATCACGTTACATATGTAGTGGAACGTGGTACATCACCAAAGGTAAGAAATTACGCTGTACGTCAAAATACGAGACATTCTCAATATCATTAAAAGATACTCATTTGTTTTTGTTATTTTACAAACATTTTACAAATTTAAATTTGTATTCACAGTTGTCCAAACTCCCTTACAATATTTAGCGATTGCACTATTATATTTGCTCCTCATCAGACAATTTATTTTTTCACAAGAAAATTCCGCCAGCCCCCAAGTAACATACGTATTACATATATTAAGGTACATGTAGCAGGATATTTATTTGTGGTCTTGGTCCGTGTAGTATCATATATATTTTGTTAAAAAGATGTTTGTTTTTTAACATGAATTGTCAAACACAACTAGAACAAACTCAAGTGAAATGGGATTATCTTCTATGTCAATTACAGACACCTGTGGGTATACTAGTAATTTCCAAGGGAATGGGAAATCTTCCGAAAGCAGCCTCTACACACTGTTCAGTGTATCTTCCTTCCACAGCAATGGGTTCAAATTATTGATTTATTGTTAATCTGGCGGACTGTTGGTGTTAAAGCAATATATAATCTTACCGAAAGTGCAGATTTCTTCGTTGTCACTGCGGTGCGAAAAACAGACGCGCGACTTTTGAGTGACACAATTACCATTTTAAAGTGAAACAATTATCATTTTAGAAAGGATGGAATCAATAATGGTGTATTTTGAAAGCAAGAATAACATGTATGACATCTGTTTATTTTTAGTGTCACGTGTCTCCAAAACAACATTTTTATACAGTTTACACAAAGAAGTGTTTTTCGAAAATTTCAGGACAAATGATTTCAACAAATAGGTTTTGGCTATTGTTTACCTTTTTTAAGATATCAACATTTTTATATCCTGCTACTTTCTCACTTAGATGATCGAATTTTATGGCAACGCCCTCGGATGTGAACGATTTCGTGTAAACTTGAACGAAGATGACGAGACTGGCATGCCAGTAAACGTCGGTAGCGTGGAAATGAGGTTAATGGCTGCAGAGTACTGGAGGTGCGCTGAGAGCGGTGTGCGAATTCACAATCTCGATTCAGACAAACAATCCGTCACTTTTGTCATGGTCGAAGCGATCTGGGGAAAAGGTAAGATTCCATTTATTGTACATTGCAAGTACGAGCTGTCAGTCCACGGTGTCAAGGTCAATCGTGAATATATGTTCTAGGTCACGAGTACTTGTAGTGCGCGGAGAGCGGTGTACGAATTCACAATCTAGTTTCACACCAACAATCCGTCACCTTCGCCATGGTCGAAGTAATCTGAAGATTCCATGTATTAAAGAGCACAGAGCACTGTGTCAAGGTAGCTGTGGGTTACGAACACGTGCAAAGTCATCGTGTACTTTGATTTCGCCAGCCAGTGTTATAATTGTGCACAGTCCCTCTATAGGGACTGTGAATTGTGTTACAATTTTAGATACCTCCCACCACGGTTAGCTTCTATAGGTGTCGACAAATCGCCTCGCCTTTTTACCTATGCACCTTAGGAATACACCAAGGGCACGGAACGCGTGTCGTAGGCACGAGCGATTGTGACTGGCACCACTTGCAAATACACCTTCAAGGCTTCACAGGGGTAGATAAATATCATTTATCTAATATTCACTATCAAGTCAACTAGCGACACACATTTCTTAAACAATTCAGTGAGCAACAACATCGTTTAGTACACATGCGTGCGGTAGTTATGGTATATGTTCATGGATATTTAACAATGCAAATGATAACTATTCATAATATAGAAAAAAAAACGCAAAATAAAGCAGAGCATCTTGGGTATGTTCTAGTTACTAGTAACTACATATAACTTATTAGTAACTGCTTATAACTTCTGCCTCCCATCTTCTTTTCAACACAAAGTTAGTTCTATAATATAGAAAACACATACTAGTAATGTACACAATAATGCAAACTACATACACTGATTCACAATTCTGATTAATAAGTATTTGAATGGAAAATATTATAGTTGAGGTGTATTCGAAAACTTGATTTTAGGTTTGTAGTTCCAAGGTAGTATGAATTAAAGAAAAGTGCAGGTAAATGATTTTATTTCCCTGTGAATGGATAGCAACATCACAGTGCAGAAAAGCCTCAAAGGTTATCCAAATATCCGTCAATATTGTAATCAAGATCTGCATGCTGTCCAATGTATACTATTGGCTATTACCCTCGACTAATCACGATCACTCAGTAAGCTGAAAAGTCATCCGTATCCCGATATAGCCTCGTTGTGAGTCGCAAAGTCTGGTCACCTGATGATATATACTTTCAGAAACGGGGTCTGGGAACCAGATAGCTACGTATCTTGAGAATCATGGCGGGCCTGGCATACAACATATTGCGCTACACACGAATAACATCGTAGAAAGTACACGAGCCATGCGTCAAGCTGGGTGTGTATTCCCACACATACCACAAGGATATTACACAAAGGTAAGTTAGTCCGGACGTTATGTTGTATATATAGTGTAACACGGTTGTTCATTGCTTTGATCGATTTCAGTCGTATGTACAAGTACCAACTATATACTCGTAAACGATGTACTAAGACTAGTAGTACATTTCTCAGCTTCAGGTGTGGTTTTCACATCCTCTTTTTAGAATAAGGAGTGGTTTGGCTGCCCTTTTGTTCATGCGTACGCTTATGCACTTTTCACGCAAGGTTCACACCTTTTCAGAGGCTGAACGTATCATGCCCTTGTTCGTGTCGTGGTTTATACGAAACTCTAAAAAAATGAGTTGGAGATAGCGTTTAGTAAATCTATTATCCACTAATCTGTCAAATTTGAATAAAAAAACATATTATTATAATAATGTTAAATCAGTTTTCACTTAATATATTTTTAGATTGGTAAATCCGATGAAATTGAGAGAGTGGGCGAATGCTTAGAAGAACTGAAAAAACTCGGCATTCTACTTGATGCAGAAGGGGAGTTTTCCTACGACGGTGAAATTAAAACCAAAGATCGGTAAGTCTCACTTTGAAGGGTAACCCACAATTATACAACGGAATATCAATTTCTAGCATATATGTTTCATATGTACATGTGTACATGTACACGTGTATTGCCAATTGTACCTTATATACTTACAGGCAAAGCCTAGTATTGAGATGGATGAGCGGGCTACGAAGCCAGTGAATTTTTAATTAAGGTTTTTTGAATCGTACAATGTGGTTTATTCAGTTTGACGCTGTTTTCGAAAATGACGATTTTGAGTCATTCACAATTTATTTCTATAGTGAAATTGTTTCATAATACTAGTATTTCAAAACAGGTTTCATTGTACATTTTATTTTCGCTTATTCCCTCGATAGCTAATATGAGTTGAATTAAAAAAAAAACATCCAATCAAATCGCAGTGATTAATAAAACGATCTACATTCATATAATAAGATTGTTTGTGTGGTTTTCAGGTACTTAATGCAAGCATTCACAGCACCGATATTTCAGAAAAATACCTTCTTCATGGAAGTCATTTCTAGATTCGGCGCCTGTGGATTCGGTGCAGGCAATATAACGGCATTATGGGATGCAATGGAGGCTGTCCACCAAGGTAAACTCTCTATGATTTTATAAGAGATGTTATATTATGTCATAGTTAGGGGAACCATTTATTGTACATTATGTCATAGTTAGGGGAACCATTCATTGTACACTATGTCATACATAGTTAGGGGAATTATTCATTGTACATTATGTCATAGTTAGCGGAACCATTCATTGTACATTATGTCATAGTTAGGGGAACCATTCATTGTACATTATGTCATAGTTAGGGGAACCATTCATTGTACATTATGTCATATCTATGGGGACCATTCATTGTACATTATGTCATAGTTAGGGGAACCATCCATTGTACATTATGTCATAGTTAGGGGAACCATCCATTGTACATTATGTCTTAGTTAGGGAAACCATTTATTGTACATTATGTCATAGTTAGGGGAACCATACATTGTACATTATGTCATAGTTAGGGGAACCATTTATTGTACATTATGTCATAGTTAGGGGAACCATTCATTGTACACTATGTCATACATAGTTAGGGGAACCATTCATTGTACATTATGTCATAGTTAGCGGAACCATTCATTGTATATTATGTCATAACTATGGGGACCATTCAATGTATATTATGTCTTAGTTAGGGGAACCATCCATTGTACATTAAGTCTTAGTTAGGGAAACCATGTATTGTACATTATGTCATAGTTAGGGGAACCATTCATTGTACATTATGTCATAGTTAGGGGAACCATTCATTGTGCATTATGTAATAGTTAGCGGAACCATTCATTGTACATTATGTCATATCTATGGCGACCATTCATTGTACATTATGTCATAGTTAGGGGAACCATCCATTGTACATTATGTCATAGTTAGGGGAACCATCCATTGTACATTATGTCTTAGTTAGGGAAACCATTTATTGTACATTATGTCATAGTTAGGGGAACCATTCATTGTACATTATGTCATAGTTAGGGGAACCATTTATTGTACATTATGTCATACATAGTTAGGGGACCCATTCATTGTACATTATGTCATAGTTAGCGGAACTATTCATGGTACATTATGTCATAGTTAGGGGAACCATTAATTGTACATTATGTCATAACTATGGGGACCATTCATTGTACATTATGTCATAGCTAGGGGAACCATTCATTGTACATTATGTCATAGTTAGGGGAACCATTCATTGTGCATTATGTCATAGTTAGCGGAACCATTCATTGTACATTATGTCATAGTTAGGGGAACTATTCATGGTACATTATGTCATCGTTAGGGGAACTATTCATGGTACATTATGTCATAGTTAGGGGAACCATTCATTGTACATTATGTCATAACTATGGGGACCATTCATTGCACATTATGTCATAGTTAGGGGAACCATTCATTGTACATTATGTCATAGTTAGAGAAACAATTTA